TCTTATCTCTACTTCCCTTTTCTGCCTTAGTGCTGTCTCATAGGAAGATTGTCCTTATTGATTTCTAATACTAACTGTAATTCTTTTCTTACCCAGCTATCCTAGAATCCTGGTCCAAAAACTATCTCTTGATCTACTGTGTGTCCACTCTGTCTCCACTAGATCATCTTTTTCTTTGCATAAACTTTTCTCCCATAATCTTACAAAGAAAAATACAAACAAACCTCATGTGGACATGCTTATTGCTTTTTCTTTCTTCCTTCTGTTTCCATTGTTTTTCAATCTGGCTTTCATACCAAGTCGACTTAAATAGCTCTCTCCTAAATGTGACCTACTGTGGCCCTCTCAGTAAAAAACTGAAATAAAAATAGCCCCCCTACTGTGGCTATTTTTTCCCTTGAAATCTGAAGCACTTATTCTTAAAACATGTCTTAAAACATGACACTACTTAAACCCAGTGCTACTTCTGTTTTTTTTATCACAATGTGTCATCTTTTGCTCTTAATTCCATTTCTTCACTGATTTTCTCAGCAGTTATTTATTGGGTACTTATTATGGACACTCAAGTGCACATCATACAACTCTGGAGAGAGAGCCTAAAATTCTGTTTTCTCTCTCCTTCACTAAAACCTCAGTGCTTTTCTCTTAGCATTAGGTTTCATAAAGAATATTCCACTACAAATGCTAATTTAGGTCTTCAGTCATAACCTGCCACTGAATTTCATTCCTGTGGTCACATATGCTTTCTATTCTTCTGGTTCCCTACCTGTTCCTCAAACTCCACATGTTTTAAATGGATGTTACCATATTCACCTAACTCTTTCTTTTAAATTCTATATATCTACTAATATTATCTTCTAGTCACTGAAACTTTAAGGTTTAAAGTGATCTTTGTTCAATTCCTTAAACTGATCTCTGGTTTATCCTTATTGTGACCATTATTTGCTTCTGCTTCTAGTTCTTTTACTTCCTTCTTGGAGTATCATAGATAAGTCACTTGCCCTTGAACAATGCAGGGATTAGGGGCACTGACACCCTATGCAAAAACCCATGTATAACTTTGAATACCCCAAAACGTAACTATTAACAGCCTACTGTTTTTTTTTTTTTAAGATTTTATTTATTCATTAGAGAGAGACAGTGAGAGAGGGAATACAAGCAGGGGGAGTGGGAGAGGGAGAGGGAGAAGCAGGCCTCCTGCTGTGCAGGGAGCCCAATGTGGGGCTCGATCCCAGAACCCTGGGATCATGACCTGAGCCGAAGGCAGACTTTTAAAGACTGAGCCACCCAGGAGCCCCAATTAACAGCCTACTGTTGACTGGAAATCTTACCCATAACATAAATTGTCAATTAGCACATATTTTGTATGCTATTATGTATTATATTCTATTTTCTTATAGTAAAGCAAGAGAATACTGTTATTAAAATCATAAAGGAGAGAAAACACATTTATAGAACCACACTATACTTACTGAAAAAAAAACTGCATGTAGGTGGACTTGTGCAGTTCAAATCTGTGTTGTTCAAGGGTCAACTGTATTTTTAAAACCAAAATCCTTTCTCATCTTCTAAATAAGATCTAATTCCTAGCCTTGGTATTCACTTTTCTCTAACGACTGCTGAAATCTTATATTCCATCAAATCTTCTGTTGCCTGGGTTTATACCCTTTGTCCCTCAGTGTCACCTTCCCTACTTGTGCTTCTCACTTTCACACCTGCATGACCATACAAAGACCATTTGCCATACCATACTCTCTGTTTAACTTTGCTCCTGGAACCCCGTCCATCCTTCAAGGTCCAACCCAAACATCATGTTTTTAGATTCCCCTTTATCCTTCATCCCTCCAGATATAAGAACTTTCCCCCTTCTGAAACACAATAGAGTATTTTATTTTATTTCTTTGTTATTCATCATATAATATATTGTATCTTCTCATTTCACTTAAGAGGCTTTGAGGTCCTTGAGGACAGAAACTTATGGCGTTCTTATTTGTATTCTACAGGATACCGAGTACACTGCCTTACTCAATAAGCATATGTTAAAGGCATAAATTAGTTGAGAAGATCTTCCTCTCTTCCAAAGTGATTACTTATCACTAAAGTACACTGATAAAGTAATAAAATGTGTATTCTGGCTGAGCAGTCTTCAAGAATACAAAGTAATTGCTGTACTTTTACTAATTTCGCTTTCTCTCTCATGCAGTTATAATGTTAAGAGAACACCTTCTCTGAGCCAGGCAAAGGCAGCAGGGGTACCAAATCATGAGGACACAGTCCTTTCTCTGGAGATGTCCATAAGACTGGCATGCATACAGATGAGTACAATGTAAAATGAAAGAAATTTTAGCTGAGCACTTATATGAAAAAAATACTCCACATAGGAGAATTACTACGTGAGGAATGGGTTTATAAGCATACTTTTTTGGAATATTCTTTCTGAAACCTTAAAAGAAATCAGTAGCTTCCATCCTTATATCTCCCTGAACCTTAGTATAGCAAACACAGTGACGGCTTTTCTTGAGCAAGTCTTAAAATTATAAAAAATCTTGCAGAAATAGTGTATTTATTTCCCATAAATCTACTTAGGCTGTCTAACATCCATTTTGTTTGAATGGGTCTAGAATTCTGAATCACAGGTGAATATAAGTTACAATATTTTAAATGGTATTTGCTTGGTTTTAAAGACAAGCTGCAAGGGGATTTGGTGTTTTCTTTAAAAAAATAAAAGGTTTGTGGTGAGTTATGCCTGCATTAAGAGGTATGATCCTTATTATAATCCATACCTAGTAGGTGCTCAGTGTATGTTGGCTGAATGATAACAGTTGGAGAGCCCATCTGTCTCTGCAGTTCTATGATATAGGGATTTTCAAAATTTAGCTCTGGAAAGAAAAGGCTAGTTAAATATAGAAAAGTGCATGCTACTCCAGAGAATTTTAAATGTACAAGTGGGCAACACAGACATATTTTCTAAAAGTTAACTAAATTACACAGTATAATAATAAAATAAGTCCAGTGGTATTATATAATTTTTAAATATTGATTATATTTCTAGGTTTTATTTCCTGTTAGCACTCAACCCAGACAGGAAAACGGGTACATTCTTTATGATTAGAAAGAACTCTTTTGCCATTAGACCATGCTAAATTGATAGTTTTTATAGCCTGACAAGAGACCAAGTCATCATTACCTGGAGGGAAGCAAATCATCTGAAGATGACTATTCTGTTCTGAAGGAAAGTTTGAGTTGACTGCTTGAGATTCTAAGTTTCACTTCCCAAGTGGCAAGGGTTAGTTTCGCTGCAGAACTGACAGTTTCTACCCTCTGGGTGGGTAGATTAGACTGGGAAATGTATAGGAGGAGGAGAGCTTGTCAAGGAAATTCAAGGAGCAGAGCTGATAAGTTCTAGAGGGAATTCTAACCTGGTCCTCTGATTGAATCATAAATGCTTATATTTTATGGACTTACACAAGTGTGCAAAGATAAAGAGGAGGAAGCAAAAGAAAGCAAAGAGTAGAAGGTGTGGGAGGAAAATACATCAGAAGAGGCATAAAACTTTATGGCTTGTCCAGCTTATCATTTATTGAGCTATGAATAAAACACCAATTTTGGGAGCATTTTTGGTGATGATTGAAATTTTTTGAGACATTTCTTTAATGGCAATTCATGGAGCTGAGTACTGGATTGCATTAAAATTCCAGAGTTAGAGGAAACAATTTTCAACAAACAATAGAAATTCATTTTTGTTACTGGACCGACTGCCACAGTTCAGTTCCCGGCAGGATGAATCCATGTGTGGTTCTTATGATTCTCTTATAAAAAACAAATGGCGAGTAAGAAATGAGTTGTTGGAGGGTGTGAATTTGTAATAAGGATGAAGTGGCGTATATAGTCGTCAAGGGATTTTTTTCCCCCTAAAACCAGGCTGTCATTTATATTTATACTTTTGCTGCTTGTAACCCATTGCTTCATACCTAAAACAACCTAGTGCAGACTGAAACATGTTCTTGAAGTCTTATTTATATTTCACACACAAGTTTGTGATTATCCAGGCTTCATCATCATTTGGAATGTTTCATATTGATTACATGTCTATCCTTTCTCACTGATATTGCTCCACAGTATTATAATAACTGTTATAGGTGAGGTAAACTCTTAAATTAGTATTTTCTTCTATTATTCTAAATATTTATATCGATCACATGTTTTTCCTGGACATATGGCTACATCCAGCCTCTAAACGAAGTAGATAGGAAATTAAAACAATTAGCCCGATCTAATATTGAGAGCTAATACTCATATCACAGCTAACTGTTTTTCAGACCCAGTTTGCCTTACATGTAAGCTTCAGAACAATTACATTACATAAGCCCTAGTATTGCCTACACTTTACAAGGTGAGACAAGTGAGGAACAGAAAGGTTAAATAATTTCCTGAGTAAACATGGCAAGGTAAGCGTCAGAACCAGGATTTGAACCCAAGCAGTCCGAATACTTGGTATTCCTTACTTTTCACTTTTATAGCTCAACTTTTAGTAGAGTAAGTGGCTATGTTACTCCAAAGCTCTATTTTAATATGATTATTTATTAACATGGGTATCCCTCCCTTACTAGATTATGAGCTTGTAAGAACAAGAACCATGTTTTATTAACTCTGTCATAGATGGTGTTCAATAAAAATTTTATTACTCTTGAATTACAGCTTATTATTGCCTTGAGATACTCCCTCTGTCCAGGAGACTGGCCAGAAGTCACTGGTTTTATATCCACAGAACTTTTAGATCCACAAAACAAAAAATTCAATTGTTATCTGTAAGATGGGATATTGTATTCATGATTCTCTTGTTTCTTTTCTATTTCTAAAAATACAACAGCATGAATGAAGCAGACATTTTTAATTGATATAGGATAATTGTAGAATCATATTACTTGACTGAAATTTCTTTTTCTTTTTCTTTTTCTTTTCTTTCTTTCTTTCTTTTTTTTTTATACTCTTTCCTATAGGGTGCTGCTCTAATTAGAATGCTGGCTAATTTTATGGGCCATTCAGTATTTCAGAGGGGTTTGCAAGTGAGTAAAATGCTTTCTATTTTTTCTTACATTTTCCTTGTCAATATATTTATTTTAAAGATATTTCACAGCTTGAGAAATTGCCAATACAAAATTGCTGTATTTGATGGAAAACTTTAAGATGAATAAGGTAAGCCGTGTCTTTCCATATGACAAAAGAAAGTGGTAGATAGGATTCTCACTGTATCAACTGGTAAAACTTGAACTATTATGCAATTTAGATCTGTTAAATATGCATTTTTAAATTGAAGTATTTTTCAAGTATGTGAGATTCTAAATAAGTGGCATAGGGTTTTCTAAAAACCTACTTCTCTTTCCTTCAATATAAAAGTTAATAAAGTGAAAATAAATTATGTTAGACTTAAAATCTTAATGCAATTTTTCAGACATGTGCCTTTTATGTTGTTTTACTGTTGATATGCATAAATTGTTATTTGTTCTTAAGATACGTAAATGTTTTTAAAATTGGAAATACAGTGTTTTAAATAAAATTAGAAAAAAGAAGCAGTGTTATACTGCATTTAAAGTATGAAGTATGGAATCTAAGAGTGATTCTTAAACAAGGAGGATTCTTAAACATTTTAAAGCTAACACAAATATAGAAAAATAGAACTTTTATTCCATTGAATCTGTTGAAGTAAATCATGTTTCTAGCAGCTGTGATTGATGAATTATTTATGATGCATTCTGCTACTTAGAAGTGTCCTTTAAAGTAAATTGATGTTCACCTGAAATACAATTAAGCTAAGACAGAAAGAGCAATCAATCTTATCTGTTCTTAGTAAGCTTTTCATTTTGAAATTTAAATAAACTACATATGGGATTAGGTCATATTTTAGTAGTATAATTCAATCTTTACCCAAAATAAACTAACAGATAAAATACAAAGCAAGAGTTAAATATGTTATGACAAAGTTACATATACTTAACACAACAAAGAAAAATATATATAAATTTGTTGAAGAATAATTTCCCTTAGAAAATATTCTTACAGATTTGTTCCAGCAGGGGTTGAAATTTACTTTAATCAGCTCTTTCCATTCGGGACACCTTCAGAATAGCTGAATTCTATTGAACCTATTTGCCGGGTGCTGATAGAAGTCTCTATTCTGATCACATAGGTGGGAAAATCTTTTTTCTCAAGGAGTGCCCTCCATGAATATCAACTGTCTGGAGGAATGTCCTTCCTATCCCCAATCCTTTATTTTTCCCGAATGAAGTTGTAGTGTGACAGTTCCAGAAAATATCTAAGCTTTCATAAGGGCAACACAAATTGAATTTGATTTCCTGGTAGTGAGTTGATGTGAAATCACTTTCTGTATAAAAATTTTATTGTTTTTCCTCATCTGTGTATATGGATTTGCTCAGCAGATTGAATAACTCTGGTTATATTATTTGGAAAGGATTATTGTTTTGCAAAGTTTTTCTTTAGCCTGTCACTTTTTTGGTGGTATGCAAAAATACATCAATTTTTAATACACCCTTACTGACCCAGTCTCTTCAGTTTTATCTGAAAAAGAATATACCCTCGAACTCCTATTATATTAAACTTATATTAATGTGTGCCTTTATGCTCTGATACATGATTTGGTTAATTCTCAACTGAGGGGACTCTATGTTTGTCAACATTGCATTTCATTTGCCTTGTGACATCTCATTGATCAGATAGATCTGTATCCTTCAGTACTTCTCTTGCAGCTTTATTTATACTCATCACTCAAACTGATTTAGTGTATCATCAGCAGTTTGGATTAGTTTACAGTAGATCCCTATGTCTAGGTGATAAATTATCATCTCTTGTGCATGAAGATGTATGGGATACATTTTGGAAATGACCTCCTGAACAGAGAGTTCGTGTCATGGTGCTTGAGTGGTCAACGAGTTGATATTAATATATTTCCCATCCACAAGGCTCTGGGGGTCTTGGTTTACATGTTGTTGTAGGAGCTAATCTGGACTGTCAATGCTTACCTCTGCTGGAAAATTCTATTAATTGTTTTTACATTAACCATAGCTGTTTCTGTGTTGGCAAATGAAAGTTTATGTTGAAGACAGACCTAGAGTTAGGTTTGTAGTCAATCCCAGATTGCAAATAGTATGTTTTTCGTAGACATTTTTCTCCCTCTTTTCTTTTCTTCCTTCTTCCCTCTCTTTTTCTTTCCTTTCCTTTCCCCCTTTTTTTCTTCAGCTTATTACTTGGACCTTTCATGTTCTGCACAGGAACAATCTTATAATGGGTTTTCTTCTAAAATTTGTGTTCTCCTACAGTTTTTGTATCCTTACGAACCGTCTAAAACCCTTTTGGGAACAAGGCAACTATTTTTCACACATACAACCACAAATATGTAAAACGTATACAGCTGACCCTTGAACAGTGCACAAGTTAGGGGTGCTGACCCCCTCATCTCTCCCGACACACACAGCCAAAAGTCTTCATATAACTTTTGATGCTCAAAAACTTAACTACTAGTAGCTTACTGTTGACTGGAAGACTTACTGATCGCATAAACAGTCAATTGACATATTTTTGTATGTTCTATGCATTATATACTGTATTCTTACAATAAAGTACACCAGAGAAAAAGTGTTATTAAATATTAAGGAAAAGAAAATACCTTTACAATACTGTACTATAAAAAATCCACATATAAGTGGACCTGTGTAGTTCAAACCCATGTTGTTCAAGGGTCAACTGTATATATTATATAATATACACAATATAAAATTTAAAATCTAATATAAATAAATACATACTAATATATAATAAATATTAATAGCTATAAAATAATTTATATAAATATACTTATATATTAAAAATAATAAAAATAATATAGAAAGGTAGTAGATTTCTGGAAAATTTCTAGATCAGTTCAAATGTTCATATTTAACTTACAAAGTATCTGAGTATCAATTCAACTATATTCATCTACCTTTTGTATTATTTTGTATTGGAAAATACATTTTCAATTTCACTTCACCCATATATTTTTCAGTAGGAAGGGACTTTAGAAACTTTTTGAGAAAAGTTTTGTTCCTAATAACCATATAATTCATTTGATCAGCTATTATCACAACTTTCCTTGGTCTGGTCTTCTTGATATTTTTTTTTCTAATTTCTTAAATTTTATTTGATGCTTAAATGGTCCAGTTTAGCATAGTTTTAAAGTAAATTGCTTTCCATCCAAGTACTTACCAGGCCCAACCCTGCTTAGCTTCTGAGATCAGAAGAGTTTGGGTGCGTTCAGAGTATTTACCCCAAAGATAGAAATGTGATCCAAAGGGGCACCTGCACCCCAATGTTTATAGCAGCAATGTCCACAATAGCCAAACTATGGAAAGAGCCCAAATGTCCATCGACAGATGAATGGATAAAGAAGATATATATATATATATATATACACACACACACACACACGCACACCCACAACCACACAATGGAATGTTATGCAGCCTTCAAAAATGAAATCTTGCCATTTGCAATGAGATGGATGGAACTAGAGGGTATTATGATAAGCAAAATAATTCAATCAGAGAAAGACAATTATATGATCTCACTGATAACCGGAATTTAAGAAACAAGGCAGACACAAACAATAAATCATGGAAAACTACATTAAAAACGAATGATGCAGGGTGCCTCAGTGGCTCAGTCGTTAAGCGTCTGCCTTCGGCTCAGGTCATGATCCCAGAGTCCTGGGATCAAGCCCCGCATCGGGCTCCCTGCTCAGCGGGAAGCCTGCTTCTCCCTCTCCCACTCCCCCTGCTTGTGTTAACCTCTCTCGCTGTGTCTCTCTCTGTCAAATAAATAAATAAAATCCTTAAAAAAAAAACATGAATGATGTAAGATATGGTGATTAACATAACATAATAAAATAAAATTTAAAAAAAAAGAAAGAAGGCAGAGGATCATAGGGGAAGAGAGGAAAAAAATGAAACAAGATGAAACCAGAGAGGGAGACAAACCATAAGAGACTCTTAATCTTAGGAAACAAACTGAGGGTTACTGGAGGGGTGGGGGGTGGGGGAATGGAGTGCCTGGGTGATGGACACTGGGGAGGGTATGTGTTGTGGTGAGCGCTGTGTGTTGTGTAAGACAGATGAATCACAGACCTATACGCCTGAAACAAATAATACATTGTATGTAAATAATAATAAAAAAATAAAATAAAATAAATTGCCTTAAAACTTCTTTTTTAAAATAACAGTATATACAGTTATAAAAAATTAGTCCTGGCTACCGTTAACATCAGCTTCTGTTTTGATGTTTAAATTGAAAGTGAAATGTAGAACAAACCAAGTGTGAACCTTTGTTGGATTATGTATGCCTTCATAAATAATATATTTTTAAAACATAGAAATGTTTATAGTTTTGCAAACTTCTACATATCTACTGTTTTACATAATCCATTTCCCAAAATAATAGCTGGTGTATTTCTACGTATTTACTGTTTTACATAATCCATTTCCCAAAATAATAGCTGGTGTATTTTGGGAAGCATGAGGCAATGAAAATGATTCTCATTTCTGTTTCCAATTAATGGTGGGCTTTCTACAAGTCACAAAATCCTTCCTGGCCCCTGACTCTATAGTTATAAAATGCAAGAGTTGGACAAAATACTCTCTAAAATTTTTTTCATCTTTCATATTCTCCAAATGTAAGATTTACTTAATGCATTTTTTTACTAGTTAGACAATTTGGGTTTGATACTTTAATTTGGGAACAACTATTTTAATTTGATAGAAAAATTTGTAAACTAGATGTGCAAAAGTGAGTGACTCCCTGTTCTTGAATCTTAGTTATTATCTGAATATTAAGGCTATATGGCCTTCAATGTACATAGTACTGTAACAATAATCAAACCAGACCAACATTTGTTGTTACAGGGAATTTTTGCTGGTGATGTTTCTTTTTGTCTGCTGCAAAGAAACTGCTTCTATTTCCCTTGCTTTTTAGTTATCTTTCGTATTTTGTTACACTTTCGTATTTTGCTCTAGATACT